ACGAACATAGGGAAGTTTATAATAGTGCGAAGAAGGTTTACCGGAGTTAGAAGAGGCGTTCTGCCTAGTGGGAGAAGGATTATTTTTCTTAGATTCTGCCCCTTCAAAATACCAAATTAAGATCAAAGAGGCATTGCATATTAAGTGGGAAAAGCCCATTCTTGATCACAATTGAAGCATCTAGAATTGTCTCTTTCCTTTTAATTATGTTGTTCCTTGGTCTTTTAATTTATTTTACTATTATTATATTTATTCATTTATTTATTTATTTTTTGATCTAGTCAAGCGCGCGCTATTTACATTTTTCGCGTTTTTAACATTCAAATGTGACGTAAGCCCTGACACGTAGTTTGTAGCGTACCTTAATTTCAATTCAAATGTACAACAGTTAAATGCTCATTTGCAACTGAAGATGACATGGGTATGTCGAAACATGTCTTGTAAATTTAAACTTAAAGTTGTTGGTTCTTTTTTGAGAGATATAGATATTCTTAGTAAAATTAAAGTAGTAGTAAAATTTAGTAAAATTCATTACATATAGATATTCTTAGTAAAATGTTTCCTGTTATGTATAGATATGATTTGTATCCTGAACACTCTTGTAATTTAGCTGTAAGCTACAAAAAGAGTGACTCAACTGATTATTATTATTATTATTATTATTATATTATATTATATTATTATACAATGGGATACACTAGCTAAATAATTTTGTTAATGCTAAAAAAACTTTGAAATAGCCGTAAGACAAGCTTACTTCTTTCTTTATTGTATCTTCAAGGTCCGTGTAATATTCACTTTCCACATCAGCTAGATTGTCATTCCAGTCTTTATTTTTCAACTTGAGTTTGTAGTTTATCATTTCAGCTGCAATCAAATATATTTTCAATTCGTCAGATGTTTTAACATTTTTTGCCCCATAAATGGACCTTGAAAGCTACCAGATATCTTAATTCAGTTAAAGAACTTCAGTCATCGCAAGCAAACCTACATATCACATAGACAAAAAGCAAACCTGGACAGCTGGCCAAATTACAGCTTTCAGTTTCTGTGGGTAAACCCTCGCAGTTTTTCCCACTAAAAGTTGGTGCTGGGTTATCACATGTGCGCTTCCTTGTTCTCGATCCATTATTACACGGCCTGTTACAGTTGGGCCATTCAGTCCAGTCACTCCAGTTTCCGTGAACTACAACTCCCAGAATAATGAAGCAGTTAATTGATAAAAGTCAATTTTCATGAAAGGACCAACCACCGAACGTGAATTATGCCGAAAATTTTTTAATCTCGGTAGTACAAGAAATATGTTGTTCATCTCATTGGGGCTTGAGATAGCACCAAGCAAATCTGATCCCCTTGGGATGCCTCTGTATGATGCTCAACCAATTGAGCGAAAGAGATCGGATCTTCCTCTTTTTCACCGTCATTAAAATTGAAAAAAATCGTTCAAACCTTGGATGAGATGACTCACCTATCTTATTTTCACATGTATCACCGGTATATTCTGAAGTACAGTTGCAGGTGAAATCCTTGAGGTTAGCTGTCCTTGTACAAATACCAGCGTTTTGACATGGATTCGGAATACAGGGATCGTCTTTTGATGGATATAACCAAAGCAAAGATATTTAACTGTTTAAAATACCACAACTTCAAAAATAGTTTAAGATACTTGGGCCTGAGTTTACGATTAAAAACTTACCAATCTGTTTCGTTTTAAAAGCTTGAGAGAGATTAGAAACTGGGAAAGGAGTGAAGCACGTTGCTTGCATGTGTTAATCGTGATAATGGCCCACGAGCGTAACCTTGATCAACATCAACATATTCACCCCCTAAGTACAGCACTTGTTTGTAAAATTTTCTACTCCAAAACCAATTTTTTTCTTTTATTATTAAGATATTCTATAATTAACATGTTCACATACATCCTTTTAAACTACGCACCACGATTTACTACTAACCACAAAAAGAGCCAGCGCTCAAAAGTGGTAGCACGTTCTGGAAATATGTATGGAGTGGTAAATATTATGCTTATTTTCTCTGACTAGCAAAGTTATAAATCAGAGAAGTAAACTTTACAACACCTTTCAGGAGAGCACAATCAAAACCAACAAACTCTGAAGTGCAGTTGCAACTGTATCCGAGCAAGTTGTTCTCCGCTGTGCACGTTCCGTCATTCTTGCAGGGGTTGTCTGAGCATCGGTCACCTGCTGAGAAACTTTGATTTAGAACATTCTATATATTCAGAATACTTAACAATTATTCGCCGAAGGCGAGGTGAATATCGTCGAATAATCCTCGAGACGATGTCCAGTGGATTATTCGACAATATTCAGCGAACCTGAGGCGAATAATTTTTTTAGTATAATTTCAGAGCTGAACAACAGAGAAATGTCTAAAATCATAACATTTTAGTAAAATTTATTAACATTTTATTTTAACGTTTTATATAAACCGCGCGGATCGGTTTATATAGCGTCATATAAGGAACCCCTCGACGAATCAGATTGCTGGAAACTCTTTGCTCAGCTCTGAAATTATACTAATTTGCAATATAATTCAAACTTTAGTTTCAACGTCAACGCGGAACTTGTACATGATTAGTCCGGGAGCAGAAAAGGTCTATTAAATAGTCAGTTTTTTATACAACTTTATGAGTGGATGATGGGTGAAGAGTTGAAGCAAATAGTTAATTGTGTGCATAGATAGACAGACTGACGTCAATTCTTCGATTTTTCAACTTTTTCGAGTCGTTGATCCAGTTGTTAATTACACCTTAAGTAAATGTCTTTTACCTTGCTCAAGGCCACAATTAAATCCAAAGTATCCTAAAGGGCAGCTGCATTCAAAACCCAGAGCGTTACTATCCATTGTACAGGTTCCCCCATTCAGGCAAGGCTCGGTGGAACACGGGTCAGCTGTGAAATATTTGAAAAAATCAAAAGGTCAGATGTTGAGGGCAACAATTCAATATAAATTTATCCTAAAAAGCGCTGGGTCGAATTCAAATTTGGAGGTTGGCTTTGTTTGAGTTAAACAACTGACAAACTTCAAAAAATCTTCAGTGAACAAGGGAAAAAACTAAAGCTAAACTCAGCCACCGTGGACAGACAAATTCGTGAGCCAACGATTGCGTGGTATAGTAGTGCTATGACAGCTTCGTCATTCCTGCCTTTACCTCGTCAGCAAAATAAAGTAATGGAACGTTTCCAAGAGTGTCTCTCTCGCCCACCGTATTTTCTATGGATTTTTTTCTTATGTTTGGTTTATTTCCATGGCATTATCCTTTAGAATTGATCAGTCCATTAGAAATCTGTGAGCCTGCTGGTCCGTAACTTAAGAGTTTTTCTACTTTCTTTCTTCCAGACCTTGTTTGAATAAAGATAAACTATCTATTCATTCACATCAACGTATTGTGACATACAGTTAGGTGTTGGGCAGCTAAATCTTTTGGTATTTAACTTGGCGCCTGGAAACCCCTTTCACATCCTGGTGCATCACACCGGATTGAAGAGAGGACTATTTTACCTGTCTGCCCTAGAGATCCACATGTATAACCAAAGTAGGCGGTTGGACAATCACACTCAAAATACGGCCATTGATTGATGTATTCACAAGTTCCTCCGTTGAAGCAAGGATATGGAGAACAAGAATCAGCTGTTAACAAGGCGGATGATGTGTAAATTTAGATTCATTTGAAGACTATCGACTTAGTCATGTTTTCTATAACTTCCTTTGTATTGTTTTTAGTTATGTTAGTCCGAATATCTTTTAGTTTAGTAGTAAGTCAAATGTCTGCCTTCGCCATTCTGTCATTGTCTTGATCTGTAATTCTATTACCCTATTACCTCCCGCACTCTCATTCTATCACTCTATAGCATTCTGTCTCCCTGTTATTCTCCTATTTTGTCCTTCTTTCATTCTTTCGTGTCATTCTGTCATTCTTTTACAAAGGAATAAAGGCTGATAGTTTCTAAAGAAACGGTTTGGGGCTGCGTCGGTGGGGGTAACGAAATAATCTGAGTACATCAACAAAGTTGAAATGGTAAATTGGCCACCGCGACGATTATAAAAGCTGACGTTTCAAGCGTTAGCCCTTCGTCGGAGCGAAAGACGAAGGGCTAACGCTCGAAACGTCAGCTTTTATAATCGTAACGGTGGCTAATTTACCATTTCAAATTTGTTGATATATTCAAATTATGTCATTCTTTTAGCCTTGCTTCTGTTTGTCTGTCAGCCTGTAAATCATACGTTCATCCCTCCATCAGTACGCTTGTCTGTTTTTTTTTGGTTGTTTTTGTTTTTGTTTTTTTTTATGATTATTTGATCAGATAAGTACTCGATCGTTTGTTAGTTTTTTAAACTTGTTGTGGCTTAATGTTGAAGGTAACTAAGTTCCTTACGTATATGATACCAGCAATCATGCCCAATGAATCCAACAGGACAACTGCATCTGAAATACGGCCTGTTATGAAGAAGTGAACAGGTACCCCCATTTAAACATGGTGGACTCAGTGAGCATACATCACCTGTTA